TATGAAAAACCTACAGCCAACATCATAATCAATGGGCAAAAACTAGAAGCATTCCCCTTAAGAACGAGAACAAGACAGGGATGCCCACACTTGCCACTCTTATTTAACATAGTACTGAAAGTCTTAGCCACAGCAATTAGACATAAAAAAAAAAAAAAAATAAAGGGGATCCAAATTGGAAAGGAAAAAATGAAACTGTCATTATTTGCAGGTTACATGCTATTGTACATAGAAAACCATAAAAACTCCATCAAAAATCTACTAGACTTAATAAATGAATTTGGCAAAGTAGCAGGATACAAAATTAACATAAAGAAATCGACAGCATTGTTATACACCAATGATGAACTCACAGACAGAGAAACAAAAAAAAAAATCCATTTACCATTGCAGCAATAAAATTAAGATACTGAGGAATAAACTTAACCAAAGAAGTAAAGGACCTCTTCACAGAATACTAAAGGTCACTGAAAAAAAGAAATAGAGGAAGATATAAAAAAGTGGCAGCATATAACTTGTTTGTGAATTGGAAGAATTAACATCATTAAAATGTCCATGTTACTCACAGTAATCTATAGATTCAATGCAATCCCCATCAAAATACCAACGACATATTTCACAGAACTAGAACAAACACTCCAAAAGTTTATATGGAACCAAAAAAGATTCCAAATAGCCATAACAATCTTGTAAAAGAAAGACAAAGTAGGAGAGATCACATTACCAGATTTCAGGTTATACTACAAAGCCACTGTAATCAAAACAGTCTGTTACTGGAACAAGAACAGGCAGATAGATCAATGGAACAAAACAGAAAACCCAGAAATTGACCCAAGACAATATACTCAATTAATATTTGACAAATGTGACAACAGCATAGAGTGGAGTCAGGACAGTCTCTTCAATAAATGGTGTTGGGAAAATTGGACAGCTACATGCAAGAAATGAAACTAGACCACCAACTTACACCACACACAAGAATAAACTCAGAATGGATAAAAGACTTAAATGTAACTTGTGAATCCATAAAAATTCTAGGAGAAAATGCAGGCAACAAAATTTCAGACATCAGACAGAGCAGAATTTTCACTGATACAACAACTAAGACAAGAGAAACAAAGGAAAAAATGAACACATGGGACTACATCAAACTCAAAAGCTTCTCTGCACAGCAAAAGAGACCAGTATCAAAATGGAAAGGGAACCCACTGTATGGGGCAGCATAATTGCCAATGATGCATCAAATAAGGGGTTAATTTCCAAAATATATAGAGTGCTCATAAAACTCAACAAAAGGAAGACAAAGAACCCAATTAAAAAATGGGCAGAGAACCTAAATAGACATCTCTCCAAACAGGACATACAAATGGCCAAAAGACTATGAAGAAATGCTCAACATCACTAATCATCAGAGAGATGCAAATTAAAACAACAATGAGGTATCACCTCACACCTGTCAGAATGGCCACCATCAACAAATCATCAAACAACAAGTGTTGTTGAGGGTGTGGAGAAAAGGGGACTCTAGTACACTGCTGGTGGGAATGCAGACTGGTGCAGTCACTATGCAAAACACTATGGTGTTACCTCAAAATGTTAAAAATTGAACTGCCATTTGACCCAGTGATCCCACTTCTAGGAATATACCCTAAGAAGCCTGAAACTCCAATCAGAAAGAATATATGTACCCCCATATTCACAGCAGCACTATTTACAACAGCTAAGATCTGGAAACAACCCAAATATCCATCAATAGATGAGTGGATAAAAAAGCTGTGATACATGTACACAATAGAATACTATGCAGCTGTAAGAAAGATCTCTTATCCTTTGAGATGACATGGAGGGACCTGGAGAGTATTATGCTAAGTGAAACAAGCCAAGCAGAGAAAGACAAATATCACATGATCTCACTTATTTCTGGAATATAATGAACATAACAGTCTGAGGAACGGGGTAGTCTCAGAGATGTGGAAGTGGGGTACAGACTGACAAACCTCAGAGGAGGGGGTGTTGTGAGGGAAGAGATAAACCACCGAACTTATATGCATGTATGCCTGACCAATGTACATAGACAACAAAGCTGGGGATGGGGTAGGGGGGATGGGGAGGAGGGTGTCAGTGGGGGAAAAAGGAGAAATATCTGTAACAAAACAAATTAATAATAAATAATTTAAAAGCAATCCTTTTATAAAGTAGAGGTTCTCTAAACTAGTTAGATATTTTAATTTGTTGTTTGTTTTCAAGGTTACAAAAGGAATTCACACTAATGGAAGAATTCAAACAAAACAGAAGTATTCATACTAAAATGTAAAAGTTTCATTTTACCTCTAACCTACCCTATTCTTTCCCCACTCCCCACCTCCAGAGGTAACTTCTGTTATGCTTGATCAACTCCTGATTTTGTCAGAACTATAAAAGATGCAGAGAAGATGAACTCTTAAAATATTTACACATATTTCAAATCTTGTTTCAGATAGGAGTAAACACTTCTTTCCCACTAAACATGACATCAGAACAGCTAGCAAGACTTAAGAATTATTCTCTTTCCTTCTATATCCCATCCTTTACCTTAGAAAAGGTAGATATTAAGAGAAAATAAACATAAGCAACAGACCTAAATAATGTGTGTATGTATAAATTTAATAGTGACGATTGCTAAAAACTGTTCTATAGGAAATTTTAATGTGTCCTTTAAAAAAGAAAGGAAGAAATAAGACAAAAGGGAAGAAGGCAGACAAGAGGGAGAGAGAGAAAAAAAGGAAGAAGGATAGTCAGGCAGTAGGCATTTCCAAAATCAAATAAATTTGGGAAATACCGTATTAAAAAATATCAATAATATTTACTGAAATGCTCCCACCTTTATAAAATTGCTAACCACCAAACTTTTAAATCATGGATCACCTACTAGCATATTGAAAGACTACAGATCTTCAGACAAAGAGAGTGGGAAATAAGTACTGGTTATAGTTTCTCCCTCATTATCACACTGGCAACAACTCATACAGTTGAACAAACTGGGATGTTTAGAAATATGCATAAGAACACATAAATTTGCTACTGACCAAAAAACTAAAAAAATAAAGTCTGAAGACTGTTGTAAGGTTCTATCTTTACTATATTGGAAAAACTGGTTTCCTTTCATTGGTTTATTATTTTTCCTTTGTACTATAAAAGAATAAAACTAGAGATAGAAGTTTGGCTCTAAAATTAAATGCAGTAAAGTGTTTTTTTTCAATACAAGTAATAACAAGTAAATATAATCAAAGGGTCCCAATGTAAATTCTATCCATTTTTTAATTTGCTTTACAATCAAAATTTGAATTAAAGTATTTAGGATGTTAATACAATAATTGCTTTATTGTAGAAAAACCTGTAATAGATTAATACAAAATTACTGTGAAGTTTTATTTCCATAGAGTGACTACAGTCACCTCTATCTATGGCAAAAAATAAAAATAAAAAAGTAAATATAGATCTATGTCCTTATATGTTAGACTTCAAATCAAGATATAAATCAGCAATGAGCACTGTTAAACTTGCCACTGAAATAGAATGGGGCCTTTATTACCAAAGTGTACTCATGAATGATAACCTTTCAATATATCTTATTTCTGTCTTCCTGATGAAATTTTAATTGGGTGAGAGAACTTTGAGAGGACTTCCTACTAAAGTGGATCCCTATAACTAAAAAAAGCTGCTGTATGTCCTTGGTGAAAACTGTTCTGAAATTCCACTACAGTAAAAAATAAGACATAAATACACTATCAGTGGAGAAAAGCCTCTATCATTTACTTAAGCTTTCTGTTGTTGCTTCTTCACTGCTGCTGGGAACAGGAAGTGTGATAACTATCACACATATTTATAAACATCAAATAGCCTCAATTCTTTATATCCAGACCCCAACTATCTGTTTCATGCCCAACTCAAACTTCCTCTATGATATCTCTCAGCACTCCCTAATTCAAGTCAAAATGACTTCTCCCTCCATGAAACTACTTGATTCTTGTTCAGGCCTCTCACTTAACACATAACCATATTTAATGTACCTTCAAGTTGCTGTTTAACTTGACTAGTGCACATATCCTGTTTGTTGAGAAGTCTAGCAGACTTTAGGTGGCAGGATGATGGTCATATACATCTTTGGAGAACGCACTGTACCAGACATAACGCTGCTTACATTAGCATTGTCTATTTGTTGACAGATTTACATTACTATTCAGTGCTTTATCATGGTCTTAGAAATAATTCTTGGGAGAAAATATAAGTATTTTTTCACTATGTAAATAATAAATGGGCTCACTGATTTTAAGAAATATTAATAGACTATAATTTAACTAATTTATGACTAAATGTTATTTTTCTCTATGACAGAGCAGTGTCATGGTTAGGCCAGCCAGGTGAAGATCACTTAAGGATTTGGCACCAAATGTTGTGAGGGAATGAACTGTTTAATAACAAAGGACTTTGAACAGTATCTATGATTAGAGACTAATAGGAAGGATGAGAGTAACATTATTGACATGTGCATAATCACACATATATGTAACAATTAAGAATCTACAAAAGTAATGTGGCAGTCTCATTCATTCATTCATTCATTCATTCAACAAATCATTACTAAAAACCTACTATGTGACAGGCTATTTTAGGGATTGGGGAACTAAAGGTGAATGAGAAATATCAACCATTCACATAGGCTCTCTAAGGCAGGTCCAAATAGAATCAATCTAAAAATTCATCTACCCATGTCCACATAAAACCATAATACATTTGGTTAAAGTGCATAAGATATTTTATCTCATTGCTTTAATCAATGTAAATAGTTTTCTTTGGCCTACAAACAAATTTAGAAACTCTTTCAAAGGGACATTGTTTTGTTTCTGTTGATTCCATAAACCCTAGGTTTCTTCCTATATTGTTGAACTAGGATGCAGAAATGTGCTATAAGCAATACAAGTAAACTTGCCCAGAGCTGTGTCTAAGCAAAAGTTCATTACCTGAGATGAGGGCAATGCTGGTACAGTGCTGGTCCCTATCAATTCATCAGCAGCTGCTAACACATTCTTATGCTTCACAGGAACATAACATTTTCATCTAAAACTTAAGGGGAAAGGCAAACATAGAAAACCTTTTACCAACCACAAAATACTGTGGAATAAAAATGGGTTGTGATATACTTTTAAAACCAGAGAAAAAGTAGAAAATAACAAGTATCTTTCTATGCTCAACTACAACCTTCTGAATCGAACTGAAGCAAAAATGATGCTGTTTCAGCTAAGGAGCTTTACATTTCAGGCAACTTAAAATGATCTACCTATTAAATAAACTAAAAGTAATATGATATATTCATATCTACCCTTTTAGAATCAGAACCCGTTGTTTCAAGTGTGTTTTTAGAAGGAAGAATGTAATCTTTAATAGATCAATGAGCTTTAATTTAAGTAGAAATTCACTAAACCAGAAATCAGTAGATTTTAAAGTCTTACATAATTATTTTGACAAAAAACTTGGCTGCTGAATTTGAAACTAATATGTTCTTGTTTTAAATCAAAAGGATTTATTCTGGGACTGCAAAGGAATGAGCTTTTAGCCTATCTCATGAGGAAGAAGTGATTTTTAGTCTTTAAAAATAGGAGATTTGCCTACATGACCACCTGGGACAAACTTGGCCAGTACAAGTAGGCTAGAAGGTTATAGGAGCCTGGGAATGTTTAACATCAAAAAAGGAATTACATACAGCTCAGTAAGATCACAGGGAATTACACAGGAAATGTGAACAGTAACCCTTTCATATCTTTGTGCCCCCTCCCACTGCCTGTGATAAATGGAGTCCTGCTGCATGCAGTGCAGCTATGCGAATACAGAAGCCAACAGCAGAGGGGGACCAGGCAAAAAGAATAAAAGCCATTTTATATACTCACACAGTACAACATAAATTCATAATGACATAATAAAATTGCGTTGCTCCAGAAAACAGCCTTTAGCTTTTCTTATTGCCACGTATGCACTGTATCACTGCCTTATCCAATAGAGCCTTAAGGAAAAATTCTAAAGAAACTTGAAGAATCAGGCGGGGGTTGGAGGTAGATTAGTTGGCGGACTCATCATAAGTTGGAAAACGTGGCTCCTCTGAAGCTGACCAAACAAACTGGTCTCCACCCTGGCTTATGTTTAAACATCTTGTTCCTAGTCAGTCTAGAGGGAAAACATTCTTTCCACAATAAATAATATGCAATCAAATCAGGAATTCTTACTCCAGCCTTTGTCTATTCTATGTAAAAGTTTCTTCAGTACTGTAAACCAGAAGCTGAGAGAATTTGACTGATTACAAACTTTTTATTTTAAAAGTAACTTAGTTATTGTCAAGGCAAGTTAAAATATTTCTAGTTGATAATTTGGAAAAACAAATATGACTGTGCATATCCTAGACTCCTTAGAGACCCCTGGTTAGGATCTCAAGAAAACAAGCTATTCTTACTATAATGCTTCTGGAAAAGGAGAAATTCTCAGTTTCTGTAACAGGTGAGTTTGAGAGATTAATTAAAAACAACAACAACAACAACAACAACAAAACCCATCATAGTCCTCAAATAATAAGGGCATGAGTATCAAAATAAAATGATGAAACAGGTGATTTTTCCCAATGGGCCAAGTTTAAAATATGGAATAGAATTCCATAGTTCACTTTGCAACAAGATTTAACTTTTCCTATTAGTATAACTTCAGCATAGAGATGGTCTGCCACAAATGGTAGGTCAAGAAATAAATGAAAGTGAGTACAGAGATGACAAAGCAAACCACCAATTAAAGTGAAAAGGGTAATTAAGCTTTTTAAACTACGAAAGGGGGAACAACAAAATCAAAGGATTTTTCTTTCCAGCAAAGTGCCTCCACCAAAGCACACATTTCTTCAAGAAATAGCCTATACCAGTAGTGTTTTTGTACAATAAATGGCGCATCACTCAAATGGCAAATAAGATTTCAACTGTAGACTTCCTGGTCACCTTAAAGTTAAACAACTGATGTCTAATTTCTGTAGCACTGGCTCACTGGCAGGCAGTCCCATGACTCGAACAAACTAAAGGTGCCGCTCTTTCCATGGATTTGGAGTTGCTATAAAATTTACATTAGGAAAAACATTAGCAGAATGAGAGGGAGCAAAATAATAAACAAACTCCAAACAATAAACCAGACTTCCGAAGGGGGTTCCAAGCAAGGATCAGTTTCCCATTATAGCGTGGACCCTGAACCAAACGGAAACTCAACGGAGCTATCTCCTCATCTGGAAAGGAGAGCTTACTTTTAGTGCTTCTTAACGATTTTTAACTCATGTCTTGTTCTGTTAAGCATAGAAACTTCATATTATTGAGATTTGAAAATAATTTAAGTATTATATAACAAAAAAAACTATAGCAAGAGAATTTTTATTGTTTTTTAAAACAATGTTCTACAACAAAATTTATTAGCAAATAACTTCTATAACTAGACATATATTAATACTGTTATCCTGAAGACAAAAAGTTCAAAAACATCTACAAACACTAATTTATTGATGACAATGAAATGTTAACTGTTGGTATCTTTAGCATATGTCCTCCTCGCATGGAAAATTACTATAGATGTTTTCTATGGATGTTTTCAATTTTTACATTAGGCCTGAAGAAATGCTGATTGATACTTAGTATTAAGCCTTCGATATTTGTTAAATGATTCAGCAAAAAGGTCCTTTTTTTCCTACTCTGAAAATAATGGAGGCCTAATATAGTACTCTCTTTCAAGTAACAAAGGATAGAAGCAAGCAGTGTAAGTCTTCATTACAGAGGCCATAGTAAAAGATGCAAACTATAAAACAGCCTTGACAATTATAATAAAAACAGCAAAAATATCACCTAATATTTGCACATTTGTATAGCACTTTGCGATGTATAAAATTCTTAATGTAATTTCAACCCTACAACTTTATAAGGTGGTCATTATTTGAATGAAATAGCATAAAATGTTTTTTTTTTAAGGTTACCCAGCTCATTAAGCAGCAGAACTGTGATTTAAACCTTTCTGACAGCTATCACATTCGTTAAAATCACAACTCTGTCATGAAATTTTGAAAATATCTTCATCCAAACTCCAAAACTAGGGAATATATAATAAGCACAACCATTTTCTCTCAACCCCCCCCACTCCCTTTCTACCAATTACCATAAAAATTGTCAGAGTTCCCATTGCATCAGCCTTTATTTCCTTATACCAATATGACTAAGGGCAGAATAAAAAGTATCTTTCAAAAAGAAACCTCCTATATCCTAGGTCTTATATCCTATAATTGTTCTGAGCAAATACATCATCATGGGCATATGTTTTTAAAAGCACTAAATACTGAGGAAATGTCTGGCGTTGTTTTTTCTTCATTTAGAATGAGTCATATATGACACATATACCTCCTCATTCCTAAAAGGTGAGCAGGAGTCATCCTCTTATTCCCAGCCTTCTGGCTTAGCAAAGATACTCCAGAGACTTGGTAGAGAAAGGTCAACTACATGTGAATAACAACAAAGAGAACTAGGAGAATTGAAAATGGTGGCAGAGTAAATGGAATCTACACAGACCATCTCCCAAAAATGAACTGGAATTACAACTAAAATAAAGACAAATTGTTGGGTAAAACCAACAGAAAAGCAGCTTGAGTGGACCCATATAAGCAGGGACAGAAAAAGGGAACTAAATAGAGCCTGGTAGTAAATGAGGAAGCACAACAGGGTGGGCTGAGCGCCTATAGAGAGCAACTATTTTAGCTGTCAGCAGCTCCCTTGGAGTAAACATCCGAAGCCGGCTCCACAGCGCAGAGGGCGAGGACAGCGCACTAAATTAGCTACAGCCATTCACCTTAGGCTCCAGCAGAGGGAGGGCAGGCTGGATTGGAACTGTGTGGAGACTCAGGAGCTTGGAGAGCTGGGAGGGCAATGGGAGTTTTCGCTGAGTCACTCACTCACAGGATAGTTGTTATCTTACTTAAAGAGCCCCTTTCCAGAGCCCCAGGAAGAAGCAATAGCTTCTCCCTCAGGAATTAAACACCACTCAGCCAAGCCAGAGAAATGCACATTGAAGCTCATTAATAGCCAGCAAGCATCTGCCCCACACTCTGGAAGTCTTCTTACCCTGAACACCTGAGAGATTTTTTCACTCACTTAAGGGCTATAACCCAAGGCTCATCAAGTAATGGAGACTAATAGCCTCCAAGCAAAAAGCTAGAGGATAAGTGAACCTTTCCTGGGCTTGCAAATCTACCCAGGAAAGTAAGATCTGACAGTGCTATTTAATGTGGGTCATCCCATACTCATCTAAACCACAAACAGAAGAACACCAACACCCACAGGGAAAATTTGGCAGGCTCCAAAACCCACTGAGATAGCCAAAATGGTGAAACAAAAAAAAAACAAATCCCAAATGAGAGAACAAGAGAATTATACTAAAGATGACATAAATGAAATGCAGTAAAGCAAGTTATCAGAGGTAGAGTTCAGAGCAATGATAATGACATACCTCAACAGCATGAGTAAAGATCTCAACAGCATGAGTATAGATATTAAAACACTAAAAAAACAACCAACTGAAAATGAAGAATGACATAGCAGAATTTAAGAAGACATTGGAAGGAATAACCAGCACAGTAAAGAAAGCTGAGAACTGGATCAGTGAATTAGAAGAGAGGGTAGAAAAAAGAAATCACCCAATCAGAGAACCAAAAGAAAACAGGAAGCAATTAAAGCAATTAAAAAACAGGAAGACAGCTTAAGAGAACTATGGGACAATATGAAACTTAACAGCATCCACATCATAGGAGTCCCAGAAGAAGAAAAGAATGAGCAAGAGTTAGAAAATATATTTGAAGGCTTTTATCCATTTTGAGTTTATACTTGTGTACGGTGTAAGTTAATGGTCTGGTTTCATTTTTTTTTTTTGCATGTAGCTGTCCAATTTTCCCAACACCATTTATTAAAGAGGCTGTCTTTACTCCACTGTACACTTTTGCAACCTTTGTCAAATATTGAGCATAATGTTTTGGGTCAATTTCTGGGTTCTCTGTTCCATTTCATTGAACTAGA